CCTACATCTCATCCAGTAAGTCTCTCCATTTCACTTTTGCAGACTTGAATGTGGAAATTAAGTATCTGCTGACAGCTGCCCTTTCTTCATTTTAAAACGCTACCAACAAAGATAACCATGGAAACCTTGAGATATATGATTTGTAATTCAGGACATTTTTTTGTCTCGTGAATGCTGTTGTAGCTTTGAGTTTAAGAATAGTAAATGAATCCTAATTCCCGATTTCAAGCTCAGTATGTTTACCACACTATAGGTACAGGTTTGATATTTGTTGGCTAAAATGATTTGTATTAAAATGCATTCACCAAAATATCTGTACTGGTTAGTAATGCCTACAGATACTGGCAGCTCCTAACATCTTGAAAAATGCAAGAGGACCTGTAGAGGGAGCTGCCAAAACACTCTTCTAGCTTAATGTTGTGTGTTGAGTTTATGTCTACGGGTAGAAATGAGCACTTGCTTCGAACATGTTCACTTAGTCGTCATTTATTAGGCACATACAGCTAAAATTAATAGAATCCTACTAAAGATGTTGTTTGTGATGCATTTAAACTATTGAGTACTTGAGGAGGCTGTTCCAAAGTTTCCAATGTGCAACTTAGTAAAAACTGGACAGTCCTGTAACTCTGAATCTTGGGGCCACTTAAAGCTGTTGGCCCACTGACCAGAGTGTGCCAGGTCTAACGGATAACCCGGGGCCAGCATTCAAGCATTTCTAAGTAAGCAGTAAAACTTTGCTTCTTCTCTGTGGAGGTCATGTGTGAGGAGGTATAACACAAACAAACAGAAACAGGAACACTAGAGGATCGATTTCTCCGTTTGAGCTCCAGAGTCTGATGGCTCTGAGAACAAATGACTATGAACTTTGACATGCTTGGAGTTATAAAGGAACGTGGACACTAAAGCAGTGACCTTTTATTTGTCCCTTCTTATTTTCAGTGCCGTGGATTTCAGCATGTTTTGGTCGAACTTTTAGGGAAACTTTTGTTTAATATACTGAAAAGTCACAAATGCTATAAAACACTTTTTGTTGTGTTTATTAAAGCTAATAGCTAGAAATGTTCCTCAGAGGTTTTGCATCTTAAATACTATTACTTAAGGATTTTTTGTTACAGAGGTACGAATCAGATGGAATCAAGGCAGGGCAACTGAAACAGGCTGCATGCCGGTTGTCATCATTTCTTTAGGGATTAATAAAGTATTTTGATTCTGATTCTGCAGAGGCTTCGAAATATAGGGACTCTGGGGGTGAAAAATTGGAACTGGAATTGATGTGTGTTAAGTTTGTAGTCTGCAATCTTTTGAGTCTGAGAGTGAGAGAGTGAGAGAGAGAGAGTGAGAGAGAGTGAGAGAAAGAGAGAGAGGGGTAGTGATGGGTCACAAGGGCTAATTTTTTTTGTCCAGCATTTTGTGATGAAAAAATGATCATAACACAAATGGATGAAATAGTTGATTATTCTAAATATCTAACAGCCTACAACTTATGAATGGAAAAAGAATGCTCATTAAAGACACCAGGAAGTCTTCCAGTGGCCAGTTTAGCAACAGCTTTTTACAGACTTGTTTTATGCCACATGAAATACAGTGTTAATTGTATCTTTTTACTATATCGCTTTTGTTCTTATCATATAGAAGTTATATTAAATCCAGTTTTTATGAGTTCAAGGAAACTTTCCCGTTTTAGAAGATAAATAGTGGACAGACAAACATCTTTAATGACAATGTGCCACTAGCTTCTAGAGACAGTGAAAATGTAAGGAAAGCCTGCAGAATTGCATTTGTCACAGCTTAACAGGGTTACTACTACTACTACACGTGCAGTCTAAGTAAATACTGAGAACCATCGTCAACATACATTTCTCAGTGTTATGAAAGCACTTTAGTAACTGGTGTTTAAATGTCAGGTCTCAAGCAACTGAAGCAACATGACTTGAGCAAATCTACCTCCCACATGGATTTTTGACTTGAGCCATTTATTTGCTTAATGAGACCCTCAGTTCCTCTGAAATCACAGTCCAGTTCCAGCAGCCAAATAACATTCTTAACTTAAAAATACACAGTTGTGCCTCAGCATCACAGGTGAAACGTATTTATGCTTCTAAGTTATCTAAGTTTGCTGTTTAATTTTTGTGAGCATTTCAGGGTATTTGATGAGAGCCATCTGCTTATTAGGACACCTCCTTGAAACAGCCCAAGCCCATCCATTCCCTCCTAAGCTCCCCGTTAACCAATAATTCTTCTTTTTCTCTCTAAGCTCAGCACAAACCCTTCCCTGCTGCTGAATTCTCCCAAATCACTTTATCCACCCATATCTGTCCACACACAGGGAAGCCACCCCTCACCCTCGCTCCCAGGCTGATTCCAGTTTATTCCCATTCAGCTGCATTAGCATACAGATGTTAGACTGAAAACGGAAAGCAGGGACACACAAAGGGGCTTCGTGACCAGGAGGGGCGGGAGGGATTGAGGGGCTGCACAGGGATGGCCCTTGGCCTTTTTAAGGTCTTGAAGACACACACACACACACACACACACACACACACACACACACACACACACACACACACAGCCATGGGTATTGAATGGTAAGTAGCCCTGGGGGTTGTGGGAGCCTGCTCCTGCCTCACTTTACTGTTATTCATTTACCAGAGGGAAATCCTCAGCCAGCCCACTGCTGAATGCCCACACACACACACACACACACACACACACACACACACACACACACACACACACACACACACACACACACATGCAGAGAGAGAGAGAAATCCCCAGCTCCCTCATATAATTTTAAAGGACAGAAACATAAGAAAATATCCAATATACGATTATTTTTTACCCTGCCAATGACCCACATGTGAATGTGACTAGGCTGAGAATGTGAGCGGGAATAATGAAAAGAAAAACCAATTTTTTTTAACTTGGACTGAGATTGCATGTTTAATTCTAGTTGTTTAATTCTACCAGGTGATTCAGGTGTAGCAGCAGGTTCTGTGGTTTAAGCTGCAATAATGCACCAGAATGACTCAAGTCTGTCTGAAAGGACAGAGTTGAGTGTTTCCACTTAAAAGATGACAACGATAACTATGTGGAAATGAAGTATCACCAACACACCGTGCTTTTCAAATATGAACACAATCACAAATCAGGCCCTGTTGAGCCCGTCAGGTGTGTTTTCATTTCTGGAAGTATTTGTAGGCTGCAGGACACACGATGCCCAGTTTTCTGGACAGTTATGATCTCTATTCTCAAATGGGCTCCGTCTATCATCACACTAAATTTGTGTGATCTGGCAGGCTAATACCCATTGAATGCTCAGTATCACACAGTTACAGTTATGCTCTTACATAGGGCTCAGCTGGAAAATGTAAAGTAAGCGCTGGAGCTGCAGTGCATATGCAAAGTTTTATCTGGAACAAAGTTCTTCTATAAACTACTTCTGCCACTCTGGAGCCATGCAGACAATGTCTGTGAGACAGCTTTTTTAAATGCCCAAAAAGATAAATAAAACTGCTGTATTTGTACGTTACATACACAACGTTTCACACTTCTAGCCTCATTAGCATCTCAGTCCAGAGTGTCAATGTGATCACTATTTAACTCTTAGAATTAGAGGAAGTTTAGATAACTTCCATCAATTCTGTCACTGATTTCTATTTAGGATCATTCGAGTGCCATGTGTCATCAGCACTTGTGTTTCATTCACTGTTTGGTAACTTTTACTATCAAAACTACTTGGTTAGTGTTACGAAACACCGGATAGACATTTTACAAAATTCGCCATATTGTGCATGAAAAGTTCAACCCTGTCTACAGTGATCATTAAAATATGGGATTGTTAAAAAAAAATATATATATTATTATTATTTTTTTTAATCATCAAAATGTGGCCATTTGTGCCTTTAATATTAACCATAGGTTATAATAACAGCTTGTATGAAGAACATATGAGGTCCGGGGCAGCACAATGTTGTGCAGGGAAAAAAGAAGTATGTAATCATCTCATTAAAAATGGATCAGTATTGATTTTTTTCTGTATATTTTGCTTTATTGTTTTGAATTCAGGCATTTTTTCCCTACAGTAATAGTTTAATACACACACATATATACAGAGTGAGAGACGGAGAGAGAAAGAGAGAGAGGGGAGGACCTCAACTTCTGCTCCACTTTGTGTGAATAGATGGAAATCAGTCACAAGTATCTCAGTGCCCCATTGTGTTCTGGGAAGTCTTTGTTCGAGCATCTGTTGCCCAAACATTCTCCCCAGTGTCACTCACTCTAAATTGGTCTGTTCAGACGAGTTGCAACAAAACTCACTCCCCTTCCCACAGAACACACTCCCACACATAAACACGCACACAGAGGGGAGGGCTGGGAGATTCCCTAAACACAAGTAGGAGAAAGAGTTAATCTTTGTTCCTTTTGTTTGTGAATGAAACACAGATGATTGTAAAAGCTCTAAAAACAGTGGCAGGATCTTAAAGTGATGCTCGTGGGAAAGCTTTGCCCAAAAACGAACATTTGAGTTATTGATTTCCTGCTCAACATGTGCTTTTATTTTTGCCATTGCCTTTAACTCAGGAGGAATTTCTCCTCAGTTGTTCAAATTTTATGCAGAAAAACAAACACTGAAGGTGTAAGCCTTTTTCCAGTTGCTTCTTCTGAGTGTTATTCAGCACTAAAGCTCTTTAATATTTGCATCACCTGTTTTTATGTTTGAATATAAAGATGGGAAAAGGGATTAAAAAACTAAAGTTTTTTTGTTGTGATTGATGTATGGATGTGAGAATTCTACTGGAAATGTTGGTGAAGTGAAGTAAGAGTTTACGTGTTTATGTGGGAGAAAGGTTAATGGGCTACTTTTTGCTTTTTGTAATCATAGTTTACATATTAAATAATTGACCTAATTCTTAGATTCTGACCTTAAGAAGGTATGGTAACAAAAGGAAACAAGTATAATGAAATTCAAGATAGAATTCTTATTTTTTCAAGGACTTTTATTTTGAAATAAAGGTGGACATATATATTAAGATAAAGAGCTAGCATATCAACATAACCCATGGAATGTAAACAATAGATGCACTTAAATTATGTAAATCAAAACACGCATTATCCAACAACACAATATAGGTTCTGCTTTGAAAATCAAAATAAATAAGACTTTAAGTTAAAAGTTACAAACACAGCTCGCTGTCAAGCCAGCAACAAGCTACAGCAACAAGAAGCCTCTCTGGACTCAGGACAGGTCAGAGAATTTTCATGAACAAAAAAAAAATTTAAATCTGGCCTAAATTTTATTTGAACTCGCGTGATTTCACCTGCCACTCAGAGACTTGGCAAGCTAGCGTGCAACAGAGGTCGACCAAACACATTGTCATTAAACCAACTCGGATAGATTAAAGTCAACTATAAAACAAACTATAAAAAATTTTGACCACGAGACACAACGGTCCTCATGTGCAGGACATCACCGCACTTTTCACACATTACAAAAGATGTTTTCGTTCTCTTGGTGGTTTTGGTGTATCTCATAATGTACCGACATTTTTAGTTGCCACTGCTGGCTCACATCAAAGTCTTGTTTTGCTTTATGTTTAACAGGATTTATCAGTTGAAGAAAATGTTACGTGGATCAGGACGTGAGGCTTAACGGAGAGGAGAGTAGACTCGCTGTGCGCTCACACCGACACCAAATGGCAGAGGATGCTGGAGAAGGCACTGCACTGCTTGTGGCGTGAAAGCTCAGCGAGTCTTGATTTCTGTCAGGCCTATAAGCCAGTAAGGCAACATAAATACAGAATGCCAAAATGTTTCACGTCCTCCTTCCCTCTCCTCTCCGCAAGCCTTCTTAAAGCTACTGGAAAGTGTAAAACCAAGCAGATGGACAAAATGAATGCATAAGTAAAGCATAATTTCTCAGGCATTATTAAGAATGCATAAACACAATCACAAAGCAAACATGACATGAACAATAAATCTTACACAAAGCAATAAATATGGCTAAAAAAAGTGTTAGGCTATAGTAATAATTATAACACTGTGTATCACCTGCCGTGGCTAGCAGTACTAGTAGGTTAGGAGAACTCTAACTTTGGTAACTAGAGTCAGTGGGATGCCTACACCTGGGCTAGATTTTGTTGCTAAAGCATTTAAAGTAGCTGACATACAATCAATTGATCAGTCAGTGGCAGCATACAGTTATTCAACCGTCTTGGACAAGAAGCTGGAAAGAATTACAGTTAAACTGCCCAAAATATGACTGGAGAAGTGCTGTAGGCTTGCATTGTTGAAACTGACCTGCAAATAAACCCAACAGTACAGAGCGAACAGCACTAATGTTAAATTCCTTCATAAATAAGGGTACAGGGAATTCTCACACAGAACTCCCCTCTGAGCAGGAACAGCATAAGGATGAATGCTGAGCTGAGTGAAGAACCCTCAGAGTAGTCCCTAAAAATGGGTATACAACAGTATACAGCAGTAACAACGGCATGAAAAACAAGCTTAAGAAAAGAAAAAAAAGGAAAAGTCAGCTTAAACTGGACGAACACTGAGCAGCGCTACAACTGCTTGGATGAAAAATGCAATATGCACAAAGATAGGTACTCTGCTGGATTTAAGAGGGAACAGAAAACCCAATGTCTTAATTCTTTGTGAAAAGACCAACATCATATACTGGCCACATAGAGTTAAAACTATTAGACTATATATCCCTGATTAAATTCAGCCCTACAGTAAAACCCTTCCCTACTCATCTGAAACAGAAAGGCGGCTGAAGATGGGTAGTCGTCGGCCCTCGAAGCTCGGTGACTCTGTGCCACTGGAGGAAGAGCTGAGGGAGCAGGAGGATGTGTAGCCCTCTTCAGAGAGGGAGTCAGCTGAGGAGCAGCGCTGAAGGCTGGGACAGGCATTCAGGGAGGCTGGAGGCTGTTGGGGGAGGAGGTAAGGGAGGCTTTTGGGTGTGAAAGTTGAGGTGGGACACCGGGCGCTGACAGAATCGGTCACGGCGAAGAAGCGCAGAGCTGAATCACCGCTGTCACCAGCCAGGTCACCGATGCCAGAGAAGGGGAAGGGGTAATGCTTCAGTGGGCCGGGTTCGGGAAAGCGAGGGGAAAGGAGCTCAGGGCTTCCTACAGAGGACGGAGGAGGAGAGACAGAGGAGGCCCTGGTGAAAAGGAAGGAGCAAGGCTGTGACTCCTTTACTGGCTGGAAGGTCTGCGGAGAGGAGGAGAAGCCTGCGAAGCTGAGGCTGTGGCGCAGCAGAGGAGGCCTGAGCTTCTGCTTCTGTGGAGACGCAGCAGCATTGAGCTCATCCGCGTTGTGAATGAAGTGGCAGCGGGCACCGTACGGACAGAAGCCTATGGTGTGGAACGTGCGGCAGGGCTCTGTCTTATATTTGGGATGACGGTTGAGGCCTCTCAGCTCGTCCATGCCGTGAGCAAACTGGCACTTGGCACCGTACTTGCAGGCCCCGCTTTCCTCATATGTGCGGCACAGTTCCGTCTTGTATCGAGTGGAGATGTGTGGTGGTGGTGGTGGTGGAGGCAGCGTGGGTCTGGAGGAAGCAGCTGAGGAGATGGAGGTGTTACTGATGCATAGGCCAGGTGGGGGGAGTAGCAGTGGTGGGGACAAGTTGGCTGCTTTGTCCTCTCTCCCTCCCAAACTGTTGCCCTCGATCATGCTGACTGAGCGGTCAACTCTGAAGGGGATGTGGCTGAGCGAGGAGCGGGGAAGCTGACCCTCCCTGCTCCACTGCTGGTTGGAGGTCACATTTAGGCCCCAACAGGCTGACTCGGTCATCTCACAACTGCTGCTGTTGAACTTGGAGTTTGGGAGGGTCACAGGGCAGAGAGAGTGACGTCGCTGGAAGCCGAGCACCCTTTGACTGTGCTGCTGCCGTTGCTGCTGGGAGCTGGTAGACGAGCCATCTGTCGCCTCCAGGCTGCGGAAATTCTGTTGCACAAAAGGAGAGAGGAGAAGAATAGATGAGTGCCGTGCATTCCTGGAGCTCTGGAGCGGGGCTTGCAGGGCCAAGGCGAGCTGAAAGGAGATTTTAGAGTTGCAGCTAAAGCCAGAGGTCTTATAAATTGGATTTGCTCAAACATCTCTAAAGTTGCACAAAAAAAAAAACAATTTATAAATAACACATAATTTAAAAGAAACAGCAAACAGCCTGTTTTCCTGTCACTGTTTCATTAAATAACATTTAAAAATTGCAAAAAAAAATATTAAATGAAGCCCCCAAAATCTGAAAAAGTTAACACGTGACACTGTAAAGTTACAACATAACACAACTAAAGATTGAACAGCTTTTAACACCATCTGAATCTGAATTTTCTACAAAATATTAAAGTTTAAACCACACTCATGCTTTAAATTAGACAATAAATTTGTAGCATTTCATCACTTTATGTTTTTAACACAAATAAATGAGCTTAATAATTTACTCCTAATTCAGCTCGTATAGGCACAAGCTGATCGTGTTTCAGGCATGCTGGTACACATATATAAAGGTTTTTGATCGGTCTCTCTCACCTTGCAGAACTCCTCATCTAGTTCCAGGAAAGGTGTTAGAAAGTCGGAGGGCATGGTTAGCTCCACCGTCCTCACCGAGTCAATGAGCTGTTGTCTGATCTCACAAGGATATTAAGCACAGAAGTTTTTGGGGTCCAAGGAGAAGGGAAAAAAAAATTCTGAAAAAGCTCAGGAGTAAAATTAAAAAAAATATTTTGGGGGGAAGGAAAAGGAAAAACAAAAGTAGCCCAGTCTGTTGTGAAGGAGACAAGAAGTTTGGGAAAAGAGCAAAGTGTCCCCAGGAGGAAAGTCACTCAACCATCTGTTGGAATCTCCTTAAATAGTTGGGGAAACCCACCCACCTCCTGCCTGTGTGCTTCAGGGGGCGGGCAGGGAGGGGTGTGTGTGTGTTAATGTGCGTTAATGTGTGTGTGTGTTTGGGGGGAGGGGGTCCTGAATTGTAATGGGCAGGGAGGGCTCGGCGAGAGGAGGAGGGAGCTGAATGAAGCTACTTTTGTACCCATTCATTACCAAATCCTTAAAAGAGGATTTTTTTTTTTTGGGGGGGGGGGCAGGCTCTCATTTTATTTAGGATCAATACAGCTGAGGAGTTAATGATAAACAACTTATTGTCATAAGGGGAAAATATGAAAAAAGTATATCTGTATTCCCCCCGACAGAGGCAATCAGCCTGAAAATAAGCAATGCTGTTTATTTATCCAAGAAGTTTTTATACATCCGTTCTTCCGAAATGATGATACAATTTATTTGATAATTTCAAATTTTATTTATTGTTTAGCTACTGCATTAAAATAAAAATTCATATGGATTCTGGGTCTAAGTTGACAATAGATTAAAAAACATTGTTAAAAAATGAATCATAGTTACTTTCACATTAGCAGGTTGTCCATGAATAAATGTTCTGTCACAATAAAACATTAATAATGGCCTGGGATTTTTTTGCGAGTCTGATTTAAGCCTCTTAGTAATTTTCATTATTTTATTTTATTTTATTTTATTTTTTTAATTTTTCCTTTCTGGTTTAGATTTGATCTCGTAAAGCACCTTTCTTGACTGGTATGCTTGAAGTATGCTATATTCCCTTTATACTTAAGAAGAACATTCAGGTAAAACTGAGTTGAGCGATCTCACATTAGCTTCCGTTTCATGGCCTTTGTGTGTGGGGTCTGGATGTCTCCCATATGTCCCTTTCGTCTGTCTCTGAGTCTAAATTTCATTTATGTTGAATCCAAAATACCCACAGGTGTAAACTGAGTTTGAAGATATCAGAAAAACAAAACAGCCAGTCCCTTGTGAACCACACCCAGTTTTGTGAGTAGTTTAAGTTGTTCAAAGATATCCCAGAGGTGTTACTGCTCAGTCATTTCAGGTTTTTCCAGAAAAAAGAAAGAAAGAACAAAATAAAACAAAAGAAATTGATTGGACCAAATGTTGCCACCATCACTGAGCTTTTCATCAGTTTCAACTGCCAAAATGTACTCTGTCAGTTACTGTTACGTCTGTGGCCTCACATTTATGAGAGATAAGAAGTCGTCCTTACATCTGGGTCAGTGGTGAGTTTTCATCTTCACAGATACTGTTGCTGTGCTGCTGCACTGTAGCACTGTGGACACTGCAGGCACATTTCAGGCAGCGTTAGTGTCGTTGTCGGCCTGCGTGGTTGTAGAGTGCAAAGGGTTTGAAAGCCACGCAGGAAGGGTGTGACAGAATTTCAAATGGGTGATAATGGTGCAGATTTTTAAACAATTGTTTGGGGGAATTATTCATCTACAGGCCTATTCATGTTTACAGCTTGAAAAGGGCTGTAGATGACTGAGGCACAGATGAAAAGGCAGGTCAGTGTTCAGGCCATAAAAATAGCTTAAAGACTGAGTGAAATACCTGAATGGTGAGTTTGACGATTGTGCTATTTGCTGCATGAAAATGCAAATGTCCTCTGGAGCTCACGTTAGCCTGTTTGGAACCTTTTTTCTATATGCAGTAATCGCTAACTAGTAATCATCACACGTGTTGCCTCCTGTAGAGTCTTTCCAGGCAGCTCTGTCGCCTCAATCACAAAGAATATTTTCAGTTATGCAAACGCATCTGAACCAGATTATTTCCTCTGTTTTCCACTTCTGTTTAAAGACAACTGTGAAAAGTATCCCCACTTGATTTTACTGGAACACCAAAGCTCACATATAAAAATGGCTTAAGAAAAAAGAACTACAATTACCAAAGTGCATTAAAGTAAGAAACTTCCATTTGCTTGGCCATACATGTGAGTCAGGTAAAGACTGTGCTTTGAAATCCTAGGATACATCCTTGATTGGATTTTCAGAATATAAGGACCAATGCATTTATAGTCTTTATTGCTCAGAAGTGGAAATTATGGTCAGTTTGTGTGGGTCTGCGGATTGAGAGGTTGTGGGTAACATACGCATACATAACTACAAGCATTTCTCAAAAGAAAGCCAGCAGTGTATGACCTGAGGGTGTTGGCAACATGGCAGGTAAAATGCTGACTGATTAAAAACTTGACTTGAACAGGACAGTGAGTTCACCACAAAAGGGAAGAAACCCCAAGAAATAATGAGAAGCACAGATGGAAATCATTACACAAAACAAACTGTCCACTACAGTCACTTCTTATGTGTGGGAGGAGCTAAGCTGAAGGACCAACAATGTCACAACTGAGATGTAACAAAAAAGACTTGATATTTTTTGCCTCCATTTGTAACTTTTTCTCCTCCTGTAAAAGCACTGATGTCTGAGTGGCGACACCAGGTTCAGGAGAATACTGCAGTAAGCACTTGCACTCTTAGCGCTGGGGTAAATGGGGCGGAGATGTGGTGATGTCACTGTTCATGTTCAACACAGACAACACAGCGAGGACCGTGCTGTTACCATCAGCAGTGATAAGTACCCAGAACTGTGAAGATGTCTGCAGTAGACAGTTTCCTGAGGAAACTTGTTACTTAAACATACTCTGTGTTTCAAAACAAACAAAAAACAAAAACTCAAAATAATCCCAGGTAGCCAAAATCAAATGAAAATGTATGAAAATCTATAAACTGAAATGAACAATGTAACTGTTTGTGTCTGACATGGAACGAATTTGAAACTGATTACAGCTCTTTCCATTGATAAGTTAAAGGTGAGATTTAGAAAGGATAGTTCAAGGTCATTAAAAAAATTAGTTAACAAGTAATCAAAAAATCAACTAGACTAATGCTATGACCGAACAGAAACAGGTAAAATCCTGATTGTGAAATTAATGGAAATAAATGTGAAATGAAAACAGACAAAAGAAAGTTTAGAACATAAATGAAAAAAAGTGCATTTTCTTAAGCTTTGTTGTTGTTTGTGGCTTTTAGATCTGAGTGACAGTTACAAACACAAACTGTAAAGAAAACACGTCTTATCACAACACCTCGCCGATACAGTACGTTACTGTAGCAAGCGTGTGTGTGTGTGTGTGCGTGTGTGTTCAGGAGTAAAACTGTAATTCAGTGTGGTTTCCTCCCTGTGGTCATCAGGTTAGGTAAGACTTTCGTTATGCCTTTCCCCCCTTACACCCCCCTCGCCCCCATTTTTTCAGATCAGTACATGAATCTGTTGCCTCTCCTTATTTTCCTCTCTCTCCCTCCGTTGTTGTGGTCGGGCCTTCTGAGTGACACAGCAACTGAATCTATTCTTACATAACCAGTGTAACTGTCTGTGGGTGTGTGTATGTGTGTGGGTGTGTGTATGTGTGTCTGCTTTAGTGGCTGTTTCCTTGTGTATTTTTGCTGTTACAAAATGGTGGTTAAACACCAACAACACGAGTGCAGAGGTGAATATCTTCATTGCAAATAATTGTACCCACAGAGTGGATTCATCTTAAAGCCGGCTGTCGGTGTTAAACCAGGGCAGAGGTAGTTCTGTGGAAAACGTTAAGTCGAATTACTGTTAGAAAAGAACGCACAACTGATAATGTTGTGTTGGGTTGTGTGCATAAAATGCTACAAAGTGGAGAACTCTCAGCTCTGCACAACCGGTGTGAAGTGGGTGTGAAAGCTGCATTATCCGTTTTGGTTAGAGCTAATGGTTGTCGCAGACTTCCTGAATCCAAAAAAGGTGTGTGAGGAGGGGATTTCCAAACTACACCACCATCCAGCATGCAGGGCGAACCGCATTACTGAGACAGAGTGCACCAGTTTATATTCACTCATTTATTCATATATTTAGCTGTTGTTCTGTTTAAATACCATAATGCATGAATTAATGGAACGCTTGTAAAAACAAAAAAACTACTTTTAAACTTTTTATTAAAATTATTTATTTTATTTTTTTATTTTAACATAAAAAGACCCATTATAGATGCAATATTCAAAGTGAGCATTTGACCAAAGTCAAAGTGTTAGTGTGCAGCGCATGATATCTTCCTCTGTAGATAACAGAAAAGAGCTTTTCTGCTCTTTCTGCAGTGTATTCACTCTGCCCACAAAATGCTGCAGCACTTATTTATTTTTTTCTGCTGTGAAATTATGATCCTAAAATGGTTTACATTGTAATTGCGAATCTTTGTGCTTTCAAATGACGTGTAATTTGATTCAGAATGGGCCAGCAGCAGTGGGATTTTCATTTGGTGTGTTGGGAGGATAATTAGTTACAGATGAGTGTAAAGTGTACGTCCCCATAGGGAAATAGTTCCTCTGCATTTAACCCATTCACCCAGTGGGCAGCCACCAATGCAGCGCCCGGGAAGCAGTGTGTAGGGACAGTACCTTGCTCAGGGGTACCTCAGGGTAGCCGTTCAGTGGAGTCGAACCCCCGACCTTCCGATCATGGGGCCACCACTCTACCTACTGAGCTATCCCTGCCCCAAAGATGCAGAAAATGCATCTAAAAAATTACCTTATGAACTGATATAGAGCTTTGAGTGGACTTATACATGTGTTAGGAACTACTATCAGGGGTATGTTCCCACAGTCATGGTGGTGGGTTACGCTCTGCTGGCCGAGTCAGTTAGCAGTAGTTTGGGTGGAGATGAGGGAGGGGCAGGTTTACAGAGGCTGGCAAAAACAGTAAAACAGAGGTTGGTGGTTAGGTCGTATGTTTTCATTATGCTGACAGCCAACACAAACATGGGACGTGACATGTGTCAGTCAACACTGCTGATACTTTGACAGCCCGCTGGTGTGTGCTCTGAAAATACAAGCTGTACGCAGTGCTAGAATAACTCCGAGTGAACACGCACGCAATGTAGATTAGTTTTTGCTTTGTCACATTCACACACACAGTGACGCTGCCTCTCTCTCTCTTGCACACACAGACCCAGCAT